AGCCTGGCGGGCGAGGCCAGGCGTAGCAGGGCCACGTCCGGCGCCCAGTTCCACGCTGCTGTAGTTGTCCGGCACCAGGATCGCGGCCACTGCGCGGACGTGTGCGCCACCCAGGGGCCCGTCCTGGGAGTGCACGCCCAGCACTACCGTCCACTCGGCGGCGGGCGCCAAGGTCCCGTTCCTGCGCCGAGGCCAAGGCGGGAAGCGGTTAGGTGGACCCTATGGAGGGAGCAGGCCCTCATGGGGGTCCGAGCTCAGAGCCAGGGAGAAGGTGGGGTCAGCGGGAACCCAGGAGGGGCGGAGTCCGATCCAGATTTGGGGCTGGGGCCATCGAGGTTGAGACAGACTTCTAAAACCGGGAGGAGCGGATCCGATTTGGAGGTGGTTGATTGGGGGCATCGGAAAGATGGAATTCCGACTCCGATATTTGGTGGAGTGGTGGCAGTAGTCGGCCGGCGGCCTCACCACACTCAGAACCTGGATACCCTGCAGAGCATTTGGCTTCGGGGGAGGGTGGGGAGGCGGGAGCAGCTAGGTTCCAAGTTAGCCTTGAGTGTGCAAGGTCAGCTGCGGGCGGGCTTGGCTTTTGAAGGAGAGGAGAGGGGCTGGAAGTGGGCAAATACTCACGTCACAAAACAGTGAGCAGCTGAGAGGACCCAGGAGGGGGCTATGAGGGAGCCCCCGCAGATGTGGCCCCCGCCCTGATGCAGGCTCACTTGCCACGGCCAGCTGCCCGGCTGTGCATCTGAGCCCCCCATGATTCGGGCAGAGGGCTCAGGGCGACCACAGTCTGTAATGGGGTACCGTGGAAGTCATAGCCCACCCCTGTCCGCCATGCCAGAGGCCCAGGTAATTTAGGACAAAGCCCCATCTCCCACCCTGCTTCAGTCTGCCCCTCTGATCAAAGAACAAAGAGAATTTCTGATCACTTCTACTTCCTTCATTGCCTAGCCAGCCTTAACCTCCTTTAAGATCTGAGGACGCCACACCTCTTCCTTACCCGGGTCTTCAGGTTCTTCTTGGGTAGGACTGAAAGCTGGGAGTCAGAGAGTAAGGAGAGGAAGATACTGGTGACATCCAGCCCCCATCTTCCTGCTCTCCATCTCCCACCCCCTACCTTCTTGTTCCTCATTCCCTGCCCTTTCAGCCCCGCTGCCAGCACCCATACTATCCCTCCCATCTTTTCTGCCCCTGCACATGACATTCCCCCATCCAGCTGCCTTACCTGAGTCTGGGAAGGCTCCAGGGCTGGGGCTGATGGCTGGAAATATGGAATCAGGAAGAGGTTGGAGACTTACACTTACGCAGTGCCCTCCCTGATACAGCACCCCCCCCCGCCGCCAAAGCTTTATAGGTACTCCATCCCTCCATGGCAGGCAGGTCTCCATTCCCCCTCCTCTCATATGCTATTCCTCTCCCTCCTGACACCTCACTCACACCTTTTTCTGATGTCATCCCACTTCCCAGGCAAAAACCAGGAGTCCTGCTTTCCAGATCCCCAGATGCTAGGACCCAGGCCCCTTGCAGCCATCGCCTGTCCCCTGACGTTACCGAGGATCACAAGTGGCAGGAGCAGGTGCTGGGACATGGCGCATTTGAGTCAGCTGGAGGCACAGAAATGGGTGAAGATCTGCTCCTTGCCACAGCTCTGTCACTGCCTAGGCAGCCCGGGACTCCTGATGGTCTGAGGAACAGCCCCACCCACCCTGGCTGAAGCCCATCTCTGGGAATCTGAGTGGATCTGGGGCTGGAAGGAGGAAGTAGGGAGCCAAATGCCCCACCTAGAGCCCTGTGGGCATCTCACATCTCTAGAGACCCAGGGTGGGGGCAGGAGGCAGATGTCCCAGCTCCTGGACACCTATTGGGTGGGGGAGTTGAGTGGAAAACCCACAAAGGTGGAGGGAGAGGACAGCCAGGGGCTGGGAGGCCGATGTTCTGGGTCCTTGTTGAAGCGGAGCTGCCAGTCAGCAGTGGCCCTTGGGACAGGGAAGGTGGTCCCTCAGTGGCGTGACTCACCTGAGACTTCATCTCTGTTTGGGGTGTGTCTACCTCAATGGCTTGGCCTTTTCTTCTCACACAGCTCTGGTTACTGGAGTTGCTGGCCAGGTCTGGGACGGGAGCCCTAGGGAATTCAATCCCATCCCAACAAAAGGATCAGAGATTCCGGCAAGTTGGGCAGGGCATAGGATTCTCGGAGGAGGATGGGCAGGCTGGTAGCCGAAAAAGACTCCGCCCTGTCTCCGCCCTTCTTTGTGTTAGAGTAAGTAGCCTCGGGTGTTCTGCTACCTACTCTTTGTATGACCTTAGGAAAGTCACTCAACCCCTCTGCATATATGATAGGAGTCTACTTAAGAAATATGGTGCTTCAAAGAGGAGTTGAGGAGAGTTTAATGAAGAAACTATTTACACAGGTGTAGTCAGGAACAAGGGAAACCAACAGGGATGGTGAAGCACCTGGGGGCTAGCAATAATTTGAAGGGGCAAGGAGAGGGAGCAGATACTGGAACTGGGAAAGGCTGTAGGAGAAGGCCAGCCAATAGGAGTGCCTTCAGTGGAGGAATGCAACCTTCATCAACCTGTGGCTCAGCAGGGAGGGAGCTGGGAAAGAAAAGACCCTATCTCATCACCCTTCTTCTAGCCTCTGATCACCTGCCAGCTCTTCCCATCATCTGAAAACTACCAGAAGTCAAAAACAAAAACAAAAACAAACAAACAAAACTACCAGAATTCAGAGTGCAAGGAGACCCATGATGTGGCTCATAAAGGTCACCCTCTGTGAGAACAGATCAGGATGGAGAAAGGTGGGGAGTGGAAGTGGAGAGTCAGAGAAAAACTATCCACACACATATATCTATTTTCTTATCAATAATATGAGCTAATAATAACAACAAAAATAATAATACTCTGTTAGCCCAGTTTCCCTAGAAAAGAGAAGCTTAGGCAAAGCCTACATGCTTTTGCCTTTTTTGGGGGGAGGTACAATCCCAGGGCACCAAGAACAGGGGAAAAAAGTGATTAGGGAGGGAGGAAATGGAAACACGGGGACCCAACAATTGACTAGATTCAACTGATAATCTTGCTAACCTTAGCTAGTCTGTGACGGACAATGAAAGTCAGCATGGTGATGTGAAAATTCATAAAGGGAAACCTCACTGAAATGGAGTTGGGAGACCAGCAGGGGGAGCTCTCATACACATACCACTTGATGGCAGTACGGATCCCAACAGGAAGACACAGAACTTTGCATCTCAAGCAGGATGTGACACTACTTTCCTACCCCTAGCAGGAGGAAGAAAGATTTTCTCCCTGCCTGGCAACAGCTCAGCCAATGAGAGACTGTCACAACTCAGCCAATGACAAGCCACTATACTTTGAACTCCCAGTTTTTTCCAATGAACTTTTTGTTTATAACAGCCCTCTCAACTTCCCCCTCTCCTCTGTAAAAGAGTCAACTCTCCTTTGCTTTAAGTGGCTTGCATGTAGTTTGCCGCCATATTTGCATGTTCTGAATTGCAATTCTTTGTTGCTTGTGAATAAATCCATTTTGCTGGTGAAATGACTGGCTGTTGTATTGTTTTAGGTTAACAGGGGCAACAATTTCAGACATGTTTACACAATCCTGGGGTTTCTAAGCCTTCTCAGGCACTTATTTGTAGGCATTTGCCCCTCCAAAGATAAAACCCCGTCATTTATTCAACACTCAGAAAAATGAGGCAATGGGCAAAAAAGGTCAGAAAGAAGATGTGGAGAGTGGTTAATGCAAAGTATGCATACCATGAAGGTCCTCACCTACGAACTGCTTCCTCCAATTCAGCAGTTCTCAGACGTTTGGGTCTCAGGACCTCCTTACGCTGTTAAAAATTATTGAGAAATCTGAAGAGTTTTTGCTTATGTGTGTTATATCTATCAACATTTACTGCATTTGAAGTTAAAACTGAGAAATACTAATTATTAACTCATTAAAAATCCATTATACGTTAATGTAAAATAACATATTTTTATGAAAAGTATTTTCCAAAACAAACCAAAAAAATAATGAGTGGCATTATTTTACATTTTTGCAAACCTCTTTAGTGTCTTGATGAATAGAATACAGCTGGATTCTCATATCTGCTTCTGCATCCAGCCTATTGGGATATCATGTATCAAGGATCCTTTGGAAACCTACATTGTACACTTGGCATCATGAAAATAGTTTTGGCCTTAGGCACCCCTTGAAAGAGTCTTGGGACCCCGCTGGGGGTTCCCAGACCATATTTGAGAACTGGTTAAGAAGTACTAAGGAAAAGACAAGACAATTCAAAATTTTTTAAATGGCAAAATATTTTATTTCAGTTATCTACTGCTGTGAAATAAACCAGCCCCAAACCTAAAGACTTAGAACCCATTTTGTTATCTCTCTTGGTCATGTGGGGTGACTGGGCTCCACTGGGTGGTTCTTCTGCTGGTCCTGCTTGGGGTCCCTCATGTGTTTGTAGTTAGATGCAGATGGGGCTGGAAACATCTGGATGTTCACTTGGGATGGCTGGGCTTCTTGCTTTGCTATGCAATGTCAAGTTCTCTCCTCTGATATAGTCATGGTCTCTCCAGCAGGGTAGATGGACTTCTTACTGGTGCCTTAGAAGTCCCTAGAGCTCTAAAGCAGAAGCTGCCATGGCTCTTAGGGCTTAGGCCTGGAAATGGCACAGCTCCACCTGCGACATTCTGTTGGTTGAAGTGACACAGCTTAGCCCAGATTTCAGCAAGAAGGGGACTACAAAGGTCACGAAGGCTCGAAGGCTTGGTTCCTTGAGGGAGTCGGCTTTGGAGCTGATCTACCTCAGGCTTTAACAAGTACTAAAAAAAAAAAAGCATATCCAATTGCCAGTATGCATATGAAAAGTTGCACAAGATCACCTGAGGGGAAATGAAAATATAAACCACCAAGAGATGCCACCAAACACCCAGCAGAAGGGCTAAAATTTAAAAAGCTGTTCAACACCAAATATTGCTGAGGATGCAGAGCAAGCGAAATGCTCGTACATTGCTGTAGGGTGGGGAGGGTGGGTAGAAAGTTCTTTGGCATTATTCATTAAAGCTGAACATATACCTGTATTATGACCCAACAACCATACTCCTGTGGTTAGACACAAGAGAAGTGAGTGCACCAAGAGACGTGAGCAAAGAAGAGTGTCTGTAGAAGCTTTATTCATAAGAGCCAAACCCAGAAACAATACAAATGCCCAGTAACAGGAAAACTGATAAAATTGTGGTATATTCATACAATGGAATATTATGCAGCAATAAAAAGAATGAGTTACTGATATGGGCATCAACATAGATGACTCCAACAGAACTTATGTTCAAGGAATGTAAGTATCATACTGTATGATTCTAATTTTATAAAATTTAAGAACAAACAAAACTAATCAAGGGCCTATTATATAGCACAAGGAACTATATTCAATACCTTGTAATAGCCTGTAATGAGAAAAGTCTGAAAAAGAACATATGTATATATATTGAATATATGTATGTATGTGTATATATATACATAAAATTGAATCATTTTGCTGTACCCCTGAAACTAACACAACATTATAAATCAACTATACTTCAATTTTAAAAAAGTGAAAAACTAATCAATGATTGTAGAAGTGAGAATAGTGTTTCCCTCTGGTGGAAGTTATTAACTGGGAAGAGCACAAAGGTTTTATCTGGAGTGCAGGAAAGTTCTATAGCTTTGTTTTAAATTCTTTTTTTTTTGGGAAAGTCCTGTAACTCGATCTAGGTGGTGGCTACTCAGGTGATACAAATGCAGAACTTCACTGAGATGTAAGGTTAGCACACTTTGCACACTTTTACTGTATGGTTGTTACGCCTGAATAAAAAGAGAAAAAACACATTTTCCAGTTAAACGGATTCCAGGGTCAGTTAAGGAAAAACAACAGAGACAGCTCCAAAAATTCTTTCCTAGACCACAAACTTTCATAAAAGGTAGAGCATTATATTAGATACACCAAAGGAGGCATGTTATGTAGTTTCTGAAAGTTTAACCAAAAGAATGAAGTCTTGTAGCAATTGGGGAAACAGTAAAAACATGCTTAAGCAAAATTGTTGCTATTACATTCCTGATAACAGAGATAATTTTTAAAAAATTTGGTAACAAGTTACTTTTTTTCTGAACTGGCTTTCTCAATAAAAAGGCTGATTATCACTGACCTAGAAAAAAAGGACATTCTTGAGATAATCCTTAAAAAATACTGTTTCTCTCAGCCAAGCTTTTGAAGGATATTGAACAGAGGGAGTAGAAGATAGTTCCAACAGGTTAAGGGCAGAGCCACACCCACTCCTCCTGAGCTAAGCCGGACAGTGCTGCATTTCCTTGTGAAAAGAGGATGTGCAGAAACGAAAAGAATCTGGGGCGCCTGCTCTAATGCACACCAAAAGAGTGACATTACAGAGCAAGGCTCCAAACATTTTAGTTTGGGAAACTGTTAAAAGTATATATAACCCCTGGTAAGGTTGTCAGGTAAAATAGAGGACATTCAGTTAAATCTGAATTTCAGATAATCAGTGAATAATCTTTTATATGTAACTGTGTTCCAT